TTCCTCTACCACATCACAGACCATATTGCCATAATTCTTCTCATGACATCAGTGTATATTATCTGGCTGATGTTCCACAGAAACTCTCCCATATTGTTTCCCCGTGGATTGTTGTGTGACCATGTTGGCAAGGAGTGTAGTGCCAGGACAGGAATCACGGAATCTTGACATGCAACAACGGTTGTTTGATGAATTATGTAAAGTAAAAGCCAATGCAGCTAAAAACCAGTTGCCAAAAATTAGTGGACGGATCAATTAAGGCTTTTGTTATGCTCTTCTGACACTTTGCCTAAATGCTACACGCTCTCAATCACACACACACACTCATACACAACGGCCAATTTAGTTCATTCAATTCACCTACAGTGCATTTCTTTGGACTGTGGGGGAAACCGGAGCACCCGGGGGAAACCCACACAAACACGTGGAGAACATGCAAACTCCACACGGAAATGCCAACTGGCCCAGTTGGGACTCGAATCAGTAACCTTCTTGCTGTGAGGCGACAGTGCTAACCACTGAGCCACCGTGCCGCCTCAAGTCATCTAAATAAAATGAACTACTTCAGGGCAAGAACACAGTTTATTCGATCTCTTAAACTCCAAACAAGCACATCCACCCAGCGGATCACTTTCATCATGCAGTGGAGATGCACTCAAGACTGTTTGCTGAATGTCTCATGCTGTGCTCATGGATGTGTCGTGTTCCAGAGCTGTTGCACAGGATCAACACTTCTTGACTGTTGTAATAAGCTGCAGACAGATTTTCGCAGGAAACAGCGGGTCTCTAAAGGCCACGCAGGTTCAGCCGGGCCTGATGCGATGCACATGTCAGAAGCGTACATGTGTTTTCCATCATTAATTAGCTTGGAAGTTTGCTGCATGCAATCACCAGATAACCGCAAATGATTATGTAACATTTTTTTTTTCGATAATGCTCGCCAACACAAACCATGCGCAGGAATGTGAATGAACTTGGGTTGTGACACTGAAAACACATTGTTGGCACACACAAACTTGATGTTTATTTGGAATGGCTGAGATGTTGTTGTCATTGTTTGGATTCCTCGCTCTTGATCGCAGCATTATTACAGGAACACGACTCTTGCCATAAGCTATTAAAAGTTTATAGAGAAATGAGGCACTTGTATGATTGTGCAACAAATGTATGAATGACAGTGCGGTTTAAGAAGTATCAAACACGAGGCGCAGACTAGTCATCTAGCAAGCAGATAAAGCATATGTTGCTGTAATCTCTGGATTAAACTGAACTGAACATAAATGTAACTTTTTTTTTTGCTCGTACTTCTTATGTGTATTTAAATGTCTGAAACCTAAAATAAACATTATTTATTTATGTATAAGCTGTTTGTAACGTACAAGCCATGTACATTTTCCTGCAATGATAATCCCATGGTAATGCAATTGCTTTTTGGTTCAACAGTTAAAATAAATCTACAAGCATTTGGTGCTGTTATGTACACTATTGCAAAAACAATGTGAATATTCTTTAAAGAAACAAATTATAAAAATTAAAAATAAAAAAAATTGTTCACAATATTTTGAAATGCAGTATGAATAATTGTGCATAGTCACTATCACAATATAAAATAACTAAAAATAAATTCATATGAAATTCAAACGTTCTGGATTATAAATTAAATTCCCAATTTTGGTATTGGATTTCAAAGTTCTGTCCGCATTTTCCACATTGCATATTGGGTATATGCAGAAATAGGCAGAAGGACTTTTCATTTTTCAGTAACCCACACTCAAAAAATATGTTTTTGCTTGTTCAAACTACTTGATTAAAATGAGCTGAAACAATGCAATTCTTGAGTTTTAATTCGGACAACTTAACATTTTTTTATGTTCAATCCACATAATTTTTTTTAATAAAAGTGTTAAGTTAACTTAATCAGTTTGTGTTGGGTCAACATGAATGAATTAAGTGGAACCCTGCATTTTTTACAGTGTAACTGTTGAACTATGCCATTACAAAAATGCTGCGTTTAAGGTCTGTTTTCTTTAAAAATCAACGATCTTCACTGCCTGATTGATATATGATTTATCCACTATATATATCGTGGGCAGAAACACTAGCTGTTCAAATACCCTCTTTTAGCACCTTTTTCAGATGACAAAACACACTCAAAGAGTTAATTGGGGGGGTCTAACTTAATTGTATTATGTTTAATTAACTTAAATTTGTAAAAACAATTAAGTTAACTTAAACTATTTGTGTTGGGACAACATAAAGGAATTGTGTAGATCCCTGCATTTTTACAGTGAACATTCAACAAATGATATATGCTGATATATAAATTACATATTTAAAATGAGCTGCAACAACACAATTATTGTTTTAGGGGAGACAACTTAATAATTTTATGTTCAATCCACTTAAATTTGTAAAACTAATAAGTTAACTTAAAGTTAAATTCCTTCATGTTGATTCTACAAACCAATTGTGTGGAATCCATTTTCTTCTTCTTTTTTTTTTTAACAGTATACTATAAACAAACATTTTTTCTTTTCTTCATTTTTTTGATGAAAACTGCTGTTTCTTCTTGGTGGTTGCTTACTTTTCCAAGTCAAAATAGACAAAACTCTAAGTATGATCGCTTATGTGAACCAATGCTATTCTCAAAAAATCCAAATGATCATATTTCATTCAACCACATGCTCATTCACTTTGCTGTACTAAAATCATTCATTTTTCCATAACAGCGGTTTGGGTTGAGTTACGTGCCAAGCTTTTATAGGTACAACAGTATAAAGGAAGAACTGACTGGGCTCTTCGCAATAATAGTGATATAATACTGTGAATAACCACAGATATACAGTAAATATGGTAATATTCCAAACAAACCAGGACTGATTAACCGAAGCGCACGTTGTCCTCTTCTTAAGATAACTTTAGACAACAGACGCCCAAAATCAGGATAAGCAAATGTTGAGAAACTTCCAGAAGGATCCATCTGACCCTGATGCAAAGATACTGTTAGTTATGATTCTGTTTCGCAACTAATATCTTTTATGTAACCCTTTGATAAGACAGATTCCAGTGAAATGAGAGCTGTTAAACAGTAGGTATGTTAAATGCAACCAAACAATCCATTTATAGTCAGACTGATGGCTAAATTGGACTGAAAAGATTTTGTGTAAACACCTCAATCAATCTAAATGAGCTCAATATGAATAAAACATATTGTATTGAAAGCAGTGGAGCAAATTTTGAACAATCCGTGACCAATTTAGCCATATAAACCCAAGCTTTCAAAAACTTTTCACACATACAACACGCCATGATACAGTGTTTCCTAACCACTTAGTACTGTATATGTTATTACATTAACATTTGTGAAATGTCTGTTACAAAAGCTTTTTTTAAAGACATTTATAATGTTAAGTTTAAATGTAAAGTAAGCTAATGCTAAGCTAATGACAATAAAATAGTAAACTGAGATGTTTATGTAGCCAACTGAAACATTTCTGAAGCAAATCAGAAACGCATTGTTTCAGTTTTTTTTCTTTTCTCCACTGAAATACATATTTTGCTATTTGATTAGCTTAAATAATCACTTACGCTGTGTCCTAACAACATGCGACAAGATTCTAGTGTCAAACAAAACCCGACATAACATGACAGAAACATGTAAAGGGGAAATGAACGCTCAGTTAAGTTTCGCCCACTGAAGCTAAGCAGGGCTGCGCCCGGTCAGTACCTGGATGGGGGACCACATGGAAAAGCTAGGTTGCTGCCGGAAGTGGTGTTAGTGAGGCCAGCAGGGGGCACCCAAACTGCAGTCTGTGTGTCCTGCGGTCCTAATGCCCCAGTATAGCGCCGTCTTTCAGATGAGACGTTAAACCGAAGACCTGACTCTCTGTGGTTGTTAAAAATGCCAGGATGTCCTCTGAAAAAGAGTAGGGGTTTCACCCCGGCATCCCGGTCAAATTTGCCCACTGGCCTCGGTCCATCATGGCCTCCTAACCATACCCATACCATAACTGTCTTCATCACTCATGTCTCTTCATGTCTCCTCTCCACCAATCAGCTGGTGTTGGGTGGGCGGTCTGGTGCAAAATGGCTGCCGTAGCGTCATCCATTTGGATGCTGCACACTGGTGGTGGATGAGGAGACCCCCCACCCCCCCAAATTGTGTAAAGCGCTTTGAGTGCACAGAAAAGCACTATATAAATGTAAGGAATATTTATTATTAATTATTATTATTTACATTATTTTGTAAATTTATGGACAATTTTAAGATGCGAATAAAGCACAATATTTATTAAGTCAAAAACTATTATTGACATTTCCGTAGACGTCAGTGTGCACTTTACATCCATAAATGTTATTTTTTGCTCGTACGTTTGTGTATTTAAATGTCTGAAACCTAAAACAAACATTATTTGTTTGTAAACACTAAGCTATCTACATATCTATTTGTAACTCCTGTTTATAGCTATAGCTATATATATATATATATATATATATATATATATATATATATATATATATATATATATATATATCTTCTTCTTTGGCCTTAGTCCCGTACGGTTGCGGGGTCGGCTCTTTTGGAACAAGCCATTTTAGACGAGTCCATATGATAACGACTTTTTTTTTTTTTTCACACATTCCGGCCGGCCTGTCACCCTCATACATTCATACACTACGGACAATTTAGCTTACCCAATTCACCTGCAGCATGTCTTTGGACTGTGGGGGAAACCGGAGCACCTGGAGAAAACCCACGCAAACGCAGGGAGAACATGCAATGTTTGCATATCCTGCACTTGCTGCTATTGCACTTCTGGTTAGACCTAAACTGCATGTCGTTGCCTTGTACACATGCATTCACAAGCCGTGTACATTTTTCTGCAATTGCGGAAAAGCAAATTTGAATTTAGCAGCTGATCACAATGCATTAATCACACCAGTAAGATCTTACCAGCTTGATCTTAAGAGGAAATGTAATTTTTTTTATGTTTTGTCAGTTTAGTGGCTAATTCATATGAATTTGTACGAATTTGAGTTCAGTCACACGAAAATTTAAAATTAAAATAAAAAGGAGGAATTAAAAAGAAAATTAAAAAGGAAGCGTGGCACCCAACCCCACCCCTAACCCCAACCGTCATTGGGCGAAGAGCAAATCGTACTAAATTGTACGAATTAGATCATACGAATTCATACGAATTAGCCACTAAATCAAAAAGTTATGAATTGCCGTAAGATTGCATTGGATCTTGTTTACTGAAGTAAATAAACCAATTGATCTCCAGCCTAGTTTTCATTATCAATACAGCACTCTAGTAATTGGATTGCAAAATTTAAGGTTCATATGACAAGTTACAGAAACTAAAAGTGCATATAAACATAACTTTGTGAGCAACAGAAAGATCTCACAGCAGATACAGCATCACACACAGATTACCATCTCAGATGAAGAACAACAGGTCTTACCTTTCTTTGATTTGGCACCAATCTTTAGTTTGGAAGGCCATGCAATCTGAGTATCTGTCTCCACCATGACCTGTGAGGAAAAAAAAAAATATATATGCACACGTTAAAACATACTACACTTTTTTTTTCAGCCAGTTTAACATTTGGTAAATGTTTTTCACACCAAAAACCTCAAATTTAATTAAAGGGATAGTTTACTCAAATTTAATTCCGTCAATAATGTTGTTGCTTTTTGTATGTAGTAAAACTACAGTATATTTCAAGTTGTACGCATATACAGTACATAATTATTAAAGTATTTTGCAGGCCATTATGCCATTATGCCAACATTAGGCGGGGCTAAAGTTATATTATGACATGCGTTGCCCGTTATGACTCTGATTGGTGGGTTTTATGTACAGCATCATGGGTAATGTAGTTTTTAGCACAAATTCTGCTATACAGTGAGAGCACAAACAATTAATTCAGTTGATCATGCTAATGTGCTCGTTATACTCATTTTATAGCTAAGGATGTCAACTAGTTTATTAATTTTTCATTTTATGGATTCATACATTTTTGGTTTCATCAAGATTTAAACATTTTTACAACATGTCCATACTTAATGTTTATAGTGTTACCAAACAGAGTCTCTTATTATTAAGTTTGCCGTTGATTTAAAATACAAAACATTTCTTTTGTTAAATATTACTATGCAATAAAATAACTCGCATAACTGATGTAGTTTATTCATACATAAGTGGAATTTTCCGGTCACATCATGATCATTCAGAAATTATTCTAAGGCTAAGTAATTATAAAAAGGAAATGCATGTTTTAATTTAGCATGGACTCGTTAAATTGATCAAAATTTACAGTAATTAATCTTTTTTTATTTTATTTTTAACTTAACATTTTTATCTAAAAACCAATTCCTTAATGATTTTATGATTGGTATAGACTGGACTGGAAAAATCAGCATTTAAAGGAATAAATTACATTTCAAATTTATGAAATTAGAAAACTATTATTTTAAATAATAACAGTATCTCATAATATTATACCTACTACTGTACTTTTGCTTAAATAACTGCTATGGTGAGCAAAATGTGTTGGGAATTTCATTTAGACAAATTCAGTAGTAAAGACTTAATTTAATGAAACAACTATGCTGAAATACCAACACGTGAATGATTTGGTTTAGGTCAGGACTTTTTTTTTTTTTTCATAAAAATCATGCTAACTTGATTTAAGTAATTTTTTAGTACCATTTTTTTCAACTTTAAGGTTGATTATTTGAATCACATCAGTTATTTATACCCATATTTATATGCATTTAATTGACTTTTGTACAGATTTCCATCTTTAAGCATCACAATTCTGAAAGGAAATCATATGTAAAGTTAGATACAAGCTAATGACTATGGAAAATTACTAGAGATGCACCAAAATAAAAGTTCTGGGACAAAAGCAAATATTCTGGATGCACTTTGCTGAAAACCGAAACAGAAAATGATTTGTAAGAATAGTTTTCAATAATAAAATTTTGTAGGCATTTTAAATTTAACTTAATAACTTTTACTATATAGATTTAAAAATAACACAAGGCAATAAAAAAAACCACACAAACCACCCTGGACCACAAAACTAGGCAAAAATGTATCTTAAACAGTAGATTAGAACGAATGATTTTTCTTTTATGCAAATATCCATAAGATATTTTCTACTGTAAATATATCAAAACTCAACTTTGACTTAATTTAAACAGCGTTAAAGGCAATACCTTAATACAGGGGTGTCCAAACT